CTCTTTTATCATTTAATCCTCACAGAAGATAACTGTCGTTTGCACAACACAATCTTTTTCAACAAGTCTACAGAGTGAGGTGAAATATTTCCTGACAGATTTTGTTTCTTTTCTAAATCAATAAATCAGAATGTTGCTGGGTTTTTTTCAGACACTAGTTTTATGAATGATATTTGATCAGTCAAATACTGCAGGAGACATAAATACGACTAGTGGAGCTCATCAGTTATCAAAAAGCTTAAGAGGCTTATTGCAAGGTTAATTTCAATTTCTATTCCAAGACTGTTTTACTACTTGTATGTGTGCAATCTTCATAAGGAGCTCTGAATGTGTCCATCCATCACCTTGGTTCAGACTTCTCTCTCTCAATAATTTCTGTATGGGTATGCCATCATGTTATCATGTTGCTATGTAAATAGATCACAAAACATGAAGTAATATATATCTTAGGTTATCGGTTAATTAGGATTATGGCAATGCCAGACCTTTTATCAAGTATTAAAAAAAAAAGAAAATTAATTTAAATTCTCAAAATGTATCTTTAGAATTGATCATTGATCACCAGACTTTTAATAAAGCCGCAATGTGTCATTTTCAGCGACATCTTTCCCACACTGCCTCTGTCCTCCAACAATACGGAGGCCTTCATGGTACAAAAAGGGTTCAGCAACATCCGATTTACCTATACTGATGGTATCTTGTCAAGTGATGGTGACAGCTGTGTTGTAAAGGTACTTGAGACAACAATGTTGTATACAAATTAGGAAATAAGAAAGTATCATGAATTGACCACTGTTCCAGAGATGAGCGTGGACTGAGGGCAAGACAAATGTTTTGAAAACGGTCGGCTTTATAATCACTGGGTGGTTGCCTGTCATGGCTAGTGTGTCTAGTTTAGTTAGATCTTTTTATAAGTAGTATTTTATTAGTCTGTGTAGGGATTTCATATAGGCCTAACTTGCCTCTGACCCATTAAAACAATGATCTCTACAGTTTCTATTTTGTCTGCTCTGTTCTGCTGTTCCGCAAAGATGTCTTTCTCCACAAATGGGAACAAACTACTTTTTAATTACAAATAGCTTTTTCTAAGGCAAGGCAAACAAAGATTGAGAGCTTTAGTCACAGGTGACAATAAATATATAGATATAGATAATATATTATATGTCATTAAATCCCTGTAATTATTACACACTACACCTTTAAGATGATTTTTTTTTGTTTAGTCCTTTAGTAGGTATTCCAAATATGAATATTTTAAATTCAGCAGAGCATGAATAAATAAATCTCAAATAGATTCAAAGGTCAGATTCCTCTTTTCGTTTTGCAGGAAAAACATAATTAGATAGTTTCATTCATTCACCTTCTAACTTAAAATGGTTCAATTCAGCGACCTACATCTGTTATAATGATGCTCCTACTGCTAACATGCAGGTTTTAGTATTAAAGGTTCCATTGATAAATACATCTGCAATGTATATAAAGATTTTTGAAGTCTGAAAAAAACATATTTATTGAAAACAGTTTTTTTTATTGGAGATGGAAGGAATAAAATGCCTGCGATGGACTGGCGACCTGTCCAGGGTGAACCCTGCCTCAATCTCCATTGACAGCTGGAGATAGGCACCAGCACCCCTTGCGACCCCACTTGGGAGAAAGCATGAAGAAAATGGATGGATGGGTGGAATAAAATGCCTTAGAATTAGATGTTTAATTTAAAAGATTAAATAAGTTGTTTTTATTCTATTATCAGTTATTGTACGTTCCACTTTTGTACAATCATCCCTTATGACTGAGAGGGGAACTTATGGTAAGACAAAATGCTCAAACGGGTACGCAAGTCTAAAAAGGTTGGGAAACACTGGTCTAATTGATCAAAGATTGTGTGGGATTTCAACACAATGTGTATGTATGCCCAAAGGCCAAATATGGCTTACACAAATACATTTCAGATTGATTAAACCATGAGCACACACAAAAACAAGCACATTTCTTTGATAAATCACACTTGTGTGCACAAGTTGGCATCCAAGGCTCCACCTACTGGTCTGCCTTCTACCCACCCACATTTATCCATAAATTGTCAATGCAAAGCACTGTATGAATTCCACTGTGTTTCAATGAGCCATAGGATTAATGTTATTTGATTGTTAACATTGGCAACCAAGGGGAAAAGAGCGAAATTAAAGAAAGGGTTAAACTAATTCAGAAAAATGTGTTTTGGTGGAGAATTGTAGAAATATGTTCGGTAGCCAAAATAGTGTTGTGACAAATAATAGGCAGTAGTATGAATGGACAGCGGGTCGGTCTCTCAATTTCTGAACCCTGTTCAGCACATAGATTTAGGAGCAATACTCCAGGGAGTCTGTTTTGCTGCTAAACCAACTATAATCAGAGGTCAGGACATCTTGGTGATCCCGAAAAGGTATTTTCTCCTAATTCTCCTTTGTTCAACATTCTCCAGCAAAGCACCATAACACAGGTGTCACAGAGGTATTAACAGCAGTTAGCAAAAATGCCAACTTATACGACTCACCCTGGTGAACACTAGGGGGAGGACTATGGGGGTCATGAAAGTGCTTAAATATTGTCCTCTGATAAAGGATATGACCTGCTCATTTCATGAGTTGTACATGTTACTGTATATAGTTTTGGTTCACCAGTGCAAGCACAAATCAGTAAGACATTTCATGCTTGATCTATAATTTATTTTTTATATCAAGGGATATTAAAGGTCTAATCTTGCTTCAGTTCTTCTCCTTACATCTCCAAGATATGTGTAACTTTATGCATTGGTTAGAGCTGGTGTGAGAGAGACCCCAAACAAGTCCAAGTTTATATATGATAAATCACATCATCTAAAGGAAAAATGACTTACAGTATGCAAGAGCAACTGGCTAGCTGAAGTGCTAAGTCACCCATCCTGCAAACAGGAAGCCTAGGTTCTTATCCCATCTGGGGGGAATGAGCTGCCAATGTGGATCCGTATCCCCCAAACTGCTCCCCAGGCGCCGCACAATAGTTGCCCACTGCTCCCCAATGGGATGGGTTAAATGCAAAGAGTTTCTCTGTAGTTGTGACAGTGTAATGACAATAAAACACTGGGGGGGGGGGAGACACACTCCTCCCCAGGTGCTGCACCATGGCAGCCCACTGCTCACTTTTATTGCCCACTGTAATGACAATAAAAAGTGCTGAAAAAGATTTAGTCCTCATTTACTGCATACGCAAGCTTGATAAATCAGAGCCCAGGTTTTACATATACATCATTTCTGTCTCCAGATCAAATAATATTTGATTTACCTATTTGCTCTGTTGTTGAAACACCTGAATTTCACCACTACAGGGTAATAAAGAGTATATCTATATTATTCAAGAAGTTCACTACAGTCTGAAATGCCATTGCGTTTTATGATTAAATGTCTTTCTGCTGAAAATATCTGTGCCTTGATTCGAAACTCTAGAGGGATCATGTGCCGGCAAACTAATTTGGAACTAACCCAGACAGCAAACACATCTACTAATTAACAAAGGTCTTCTGAATTAATTTTGAGCAAGCAAATATAAACAATAAGATAAAGAGACAGTTATATTGAAAAAGTTGGAAAACCATTTGAAGCCTGAGTGTTTTCCTAAAACATTTGGATATAAAAGATAATTAAGATTAATTTTAACAGTCATAAAAATGTATAATAAGAAGAATAAACTTAGATACTTTATGAATGTCTACAAACCTTACAGATACTAAAAGTATATTAAACTGTATGTTCATGAAGCTATCATGCTTATATCTGAAAACTGACTGTAAAAGTCACTTTAACCATAACTATTGTTTACTGTTTTTGTCAAAACTGAACTGACCATTTTGCAAGATGTTGATAGTAAATGTTGGCATTACCTGAAACAGAGGCTTTGATCCTCGCCTCTGCCAGAATGGTCCACAAGGCCAGCAGGACCAAAACAAGGGAGAACCTTCAAACACAGTCAACCAAAAGGTTTGCATTCACTAGATTTATTAATGATCAGCTGAGAATACAATCTGGACATATCAAATAATACCTATTGACAACTTTCTTAAAAATCAAGTGTTATTATTGCTAATAAAATAATTTTCAGTGAAAGATCATTGAATTGTGTTCATTGGATTCAGGAGCAACTTTATACTAAACAATTTTACAAAAAAATCCTTCATTGTTATAAATGAAATAACCTCATTTTATTTTGTCTTTGAATGATTTTATCCTAGTACTTTTTCCTGTTGTAGAAAACAGCATTCAGATTTAATCTGTGTAGCAAAGCTATAAATATTTTATCTTACCTCTTGTTGACAGCAATCATGTCTTTCCCTTTTGATGGTTTTAGTCTCTCTTCTTAAGTGTGTTTTGCATTCAAGCTGTTGGTATATTTATATCTGCTGAAAAACAAATGCTCTGATCTGGAAATTTCTGCTTGGCTCATGAAAACAGGAATCCCTGCATTTCAAAATGAGCTAATTACGAAATCTTGCAACAAATTGTTTGCTCTGTCTGTTAGTGTCCAAAAAATCTGAATCAGAAAAAAAGGAAATAGAAAGATGTTAGGTTTTACAATAAAAGCTTCTGGTTTTATATAAAGCAGCAATAGTGTTGCTTAATCTAAAAAAAAAACAAAAACAGAAATAAAAACAATACAAGATTCTCACAAGGCTATAATTCTTGTTTTATTCTGTGTTTTAGTTCACCTCCTTCCACTGAATGTTAAATGGACACGTGTGCTATTTATATTCTGGTTTGGCATCCAGGCTTACTGAAAATGAGTAACAAACTCTAATGATGTCAGAGTGACAGGTTGCCGGTCACTGTGCATTTTCGCTGTATTTATGAAACACAAAGCAAATATTAACTCATTAGACCGTTCCTGAGGAAACAGCAGCAGAATCTGTTTTGATTTCTGTGGCACTATTTAAGCATGGCAGCCGTCTGATAGACCAGTGCTGCAAAGTTCAAAGTCCAGCCGTCCTGCTCAGCATATTGATTTACAAAGGGATATGGAAGGATTTTATGATTTCAAGAGTAGTGGAGAATAATCCAGTTGAAATGGAATGCCATAATATGCAAATGTAATGAATAAAGACTGAAATGCAGCTGTAAAATCACATATATATTTTTTTTTTCTAGAGTGCAGAGCTAATAGTATGCCTATCAGCAGACCATCACCAGCGATGAGTTAAGCAGTCACATTATGTACAGAGGTCAGAAGTTTTTCTTCAGTACTGTAAAACTCAATTTAACTCACATGTAAAGAGAGGGACTAAATGCAAATAGGAGTTTTAACTGAGGGAGAAGATTTATTACATGCTCTTTTAAATAGAGGATGTTTTATTTATTTATTTTTCCCAGTTTTTAGCCTTAGCTCTTGACTGGTAATGAGAATCTTTGAAATCAGACACTCATCTCAAATTAAGTCATTTCGTTCTAGTTAATCATTGCAGTCATGGTTGACCTGAGGCAGAAACACTCCCAGACATTTTTTTTTTTTAGCAGGAGCTCTTCATTTGTAAATTCCCTCATGTCTCTGAAACTCTTATGTTTATGGACAAAAATGGTTAAAGTGGTTTAGCCTGAGAAGGACGTTAGGAGTATATTGTAGTCATACATTTCTTGCATTTCCACACATATTGTAGCTGCCTGTTGACAGAAAAAAAAATCCTCCTGCCTATTCTGAATCACATAGGTTTTCCCTAACTACTTAAGAAGCCTGGAAACAACTGCAAAGGTTACTTTCATAAAATAAATAAAAGTCACCTCTCATAGGAAAATATTATAAAGGGATTTGATAGGAAATACATTTTTTCCGACCACATCGACATAGATTTTTGTTTTTTGTACAGTTTCCCACCATTTGGTTAGCTATGGATGAGAATTTCAAAAGTAGACACTTCTCTTATCTAAATGATGCTTTGCTTTATCTCAAGCAAAGTAAGTGGTTAAGTGTTAAGAAGATATAAAACAATGCCTGTCTTTGCTTTCACATAATAAATGATAGACGAAGGAAAATGTCAACGGTGCTTTGTCTTGTTTGCAGGTTTAGTGAAGGACTCAAATGCAGAGACTGAATATGGCAAAAACAGAGCTTTTAATAATAAATAACAGGAGAACCTACAGAGGGATCACAGGAAAAGCAGGACATAGAGTACAAACAGTATGATAGAAGAATCTGTTAACGAGAAATGTAAAAAAAGGGAGCTTAAGTACTGAAGAAAAGGCAGAAAATTAAAAATGAATGAGGACGAGGAAATAGGAGAGACAGTAATCAACACAAAGGGAGTTGAACCAAGACTTAAAAGCCTGAAACCAACATAAGAGAACAAACCAAAATATGTAGATGAAAAAAACCCAGGAATAATTACAATAATAATGACTGAAAAACTTAAATACAAAGAAAATGTTAAAATCCACAATAATAAACAACCAATGGCAGGACCTTACCTTTGCAAAACTAAAAACAGAAATGACTGGAAAGGAAGACAAATGAAACCAACACACAAATACTTGTGGACTTTCATGTTTTCAGGATTTCAACAGATGGAGAAAGTAAAATATTGCATGCATTTATTATATATTAAATATTGCATGCATTTATTATATATTGTATATGGCCCACATTTAGAGACAGAAAAGTTTGCTCAAATTTCATGGCTCAAGCTCAAGATTTTTTTCTTAAATATATAAAATTTGCAAAAGTGCAGAATATTTTTCCCAGGCAGGAATATCAACAATTTTGATAAGAAATCTTCAAAATGTGACTTTCTTAACTAAAAGAACAGACTGAACAGGCTGCACATTTTTCAACATGTGTCATAGATCCATGCATTAAAGACAGTCATACATTTCTATATTTTTTATGCTAGTTTGGGGTTTTTATTATAACTATTTTAAATAGACTCACAAGTATTATAAACCCCAGCGGCCACAAGAGCTTCAGCCATAATTCATTCAGCTAAATGTTCCCTGTTTTGTATTAAATTTATCCTACTATGACTTTTAACAAGAACTTGTGCTGGGCTATGCCTGCAGCCATAATAGAAAAACATATACGCTTCTGATCTTCTTTATGTTTAAAATAAGAGGCCAGCTCATATCTTCTTAAAAAAACAGAATCATGTATACAGTATGACCCTTGTTCTGCATGTCCTATGGTTATTTGTCTGGCAGGTTTACAAAACCTTTGCAGATAGAGGTTACATAATAGTGCTCTGGATGGGTAATGCCCATGTTGCTTTGCTCTGGCCACATAATTTCCTAAGCTTTCAAACATCCCTTCCTTTGCCTCAACACACTGCTGTTGTACTGTTATTTTTAGAAAGAGTTTCCTGGATGTTTTTTTCCAGTGTTCCAGTTGCTTTTAAAGACAGAATTGCATAGATATATGGTTACCTCTGCTGCCTGGAGGTAACGACACAAAGGACGGACACTGGCAAAGGACAAATGAGCTGGACAAATGCCCCAGAGACAGGGTGGATGCATTATTACACCCGTCAACTCTCGTTACTTGGTGAATTTACTGTTTCTGTTTTTCATTTATATGCTTTGGACAAATAAAAAAAGTTTGCAGAAAAGAAACAAGTATTTTCCTAAACAAGCTTAAGAACAAACAGCCATGGTTAAGAGTCTGGTATTTATAAGAAATGGTGTGCTTAAAGTAAAAGTAGGATTTAAGCCTCAAAGACACCAAACATGGCACATTTTTGGGTGGAGATGAAAATGGAGAGGTGCACATCAGAAAGTGATTCCTGGAATAAAGAAAGAGAACGGAGAGTAAAATGCTTGTAGCTTAAGTTGAATCTGTGTCGGTGTGTGTTGAGGAGGTGAGTGAGGAGAGAGAGGTGGAGGAGAGAGATGGCAGAGGCTGAATTACAGAAGCAGAGAGCTGGAGTGTCTGGGAGGATCTGTGCTCCTCTGGAGAAGAAACGCTTTTAACTGGATTTAACTTCTGAAAAGTCAACATTTAAACCTGGATTGTTTTTCCTTTATTACACCTTTTTCTGCATAAATGAGCAACAACTGAAGTCTGTGAAAATGCTGGTAAGATTGTCCAGTTCGATGTATTAGTAATTTTAAATCATCATGTGATTTCTTAACTAAAAGGTTTAAATGCTTCTAATATGTTTTCATGAAAGCAGATCAAAATGCATACATCATAGTCTACTGTTTGAATACTAAGTATTAAGAGTGTAACCATTGGTAGTATTGGCTTAAGGCTCAAGCTGAGCTGGGTATTAAAAGCCATGTTAAATTGCATTTTTTTTTAAATCTTACTCAGTCTGTTGGACTCATGAGATAAAATACAGAATCAGGACAATAGTTGAATAGTTAAACTTTTTACAACTAATAAAAGGAAAATTTCAAAAAAAGATGTTCTTTTTCATTTACATTTTTGCTGATTTATTTTGACTTAGGAAACAACTCTCTACAAAAGTAATCCTGTTTCACCTGTGAAACTGCTGGGTGGAGTTTGTGTAATGCAGGATCATTCAGTTATGTAGCAGCTGTTGACACCGTGATGAAGTGCAACATTGTTTAACAAACTGGGAATCATTGATAGGAAGAAATTAGTGCATACATGTCCTTTGTGAAAACATGTCAACTCATTTCAGGGGGGTTCATTTGTAGCTGCAAGTTAATGTTTGAATATTTATTAAAAATAAAACTAAATCAGTTTTATCAATACTTAGTAATCATTAGGAGATGCTTGGTGGATGAAATGATAGCAGTTTTTATTGCATTAGAACAAATAGTACTATTGCATTTTTCCGGATTCCGATACATTCAAGTTTATTTTACAATTTCTATTTTATTTATTTGTAAACCAGTGAATGTGAACATTCTGAATAGAAATACACTTAATCTGTAAAAAAAAAAAAAAAAAAAAAAAAAAAAATACACTCTTAAAAACTATTTGACTAAAAAACAATTCTGATCCAACTTTATTTGAAGTTTTAGTTTTGTCAGTTGTGAATAATTTTGTTATACATGTATTGGTATTAATATCAAATCGGTGAGATGTGGGATAATATATAAGGTGTGTATAGAAAAACATCAAAAGACTTTCCCTGCATCAGATGAAATCTATAACAGTTACATTTTTGCCTCATTTGTTTATTTATGTGAAAACGAGTGAATACAAACATTCTGAGTAATAAAGTAGATAATGAAAGTAAAATTCAACATAAATATGAACTATAGTCTTGTCCCTATTAGTATTTTCAGACAGATTCCTTGTATATGTTTCTGTATACATTTCTAACCCTCAGGCTTTCAGAAGAAGCATTATTTGAGCACTAATATGAAGAAAGAAATCAACTCTGTTGATCATAGAGGCAATAGTCTATATAAAGAGTGAGAACATTAATTATGTTTAATACGTTGTCCATAAATGGTGACAGATAGCACAACATGAAAGCTACTCTACGTATGCGTGCACTTGTCAGACAAACACAAAGGGAATCAGCACAGACAGGATGACAGGCCAAGAAAATCTAGATGGTGCCTGTGTGTCGCAGCAGAAGAAGCCTCAGGCGGTTCAGAGCAGCCTCCATCCAGCACAATTATTACTGCACGTGACCTCTGTGTGTTTGTGGGCGACCTGGCCGAAGAGTCCTGACCTGTCCCCATCGGTCCTCCTGCAGATGGCCGAACCCATCAGTCAGGGATACAGCTCTGTCAAATCTAATTCACTGCATGCATGAAAAAAAAAACATATATTCAACCAGAAAGTTCTTCAAAAAACAACAAATTCTATTTTAAGATCCAGTCCTATCTAGTTCAAGGAAGCAAATATTGTTAACACTCTACAAGTACAACATTGAAAACTAATTCATGACGTCAGAAAAGAACGTTTTCAGATGAACTAGTAATAGCGTAATTACTTATTGCAGGAAATTGCAGGAAGTTGCAGGAAAAAAGTATGTATATCAGGAATGTTGCACAGCTGAACACATTCAAACCTATTTTTTCTACAAATTTCATGTTAGGAATTTCTTCACTGTTTTGAATCCCCATATGCTGAAAAAATTTTTGCATTTGTCTTGCCGGCTGATCGCAGTTAAATCACTGTCTGTCCAGTGGTTGTAAAGACAGTATCTTTCCTACAGCTGCATGGCTTGTGTTGTGTGTTTATACCTGTGTGTTTCTTCTCCTGCTGTTAGCTCCTGGTGTTGCCATGCCTGAGGTCCGGCTGCAGGGATGACTTCCGCTTGTCATCTTCACTCAAGGTAATTCTCAAAATAAGGCTCATCATCCGTCCTCTTATAAGTAATTATCTTTTTTTTCTTTCCTCCACTCAAACAGCCTTAAATGGGTTAGGGTAAACAAAATACTCAATGGAAAGTAAAGAAAAAAACCTAAAGATGCTGAAAATTCTAAAAATAAGGCTCATCGTCTGTCCTCTTACAAGTAATTATCTTTTTTTCTCCTCCACTCAAGCAGCCTTAAATGTATCAGGGTAAACAAAATACTTGAAGAGAAGTAAAGAAAAAGCTGCAAGAATCCCCAAAATAGAGGAAATTAGCACCAGATGTACATTTTATACATTATATAATGTATAAAACGTGCATTTATACATTTTTTATTTATGTAAAATGATTCATAAATAATATAACCCCTTCAAAAAAAATGTGAATCAGTCAAAAACTGATTTGACGTCAAACTGCAAGGCCTCCCCCTCCCACCCACTACAAGCTTTTCATGAGTTCAGGAGGTTCTTTTTCCACTGTGTGGGTATTTAAAACCAACTCTTGTAAGACCTGGCCTTGATGGGTTTTTTTTTTTTTCATTGTGACTGCTTGACAGCGTTTGCTCAGTGGTATGACTTGGTAACTCGGTTTATTAAGTACTAAATAATGCTTGATCTTTTTTGCTCTGACATAACAAATAAAAAAACACTAAGAAATCAATTTATTTATTTTGTGAGCTGTAAATGGAAAAAGTATTTTAGCACTTTCACAGAATCCTAACTTTATCAACTTCTTTATTAATTCCTTGCTATGACAAAAAAGGAAAATATAACAAAACTAACCTGTGCCTTCAAAACAAAATAACCCATAAAAGTCCTCAGAATGCATATAGTTTAAAGGTTTAAATGATCTTTCAGAATTGGCATCATAACAATAATAGAAAATAGAAAAAACCTTGCACATTTCTAACTGGGGGCAATTCTGAAATAGGCAAATGTAAGATGAATTAGATATGAGTATTTCTTCTCTTTAATTAGTCTCAGCTGTGTGCGTTCTTTACATGAGATGCGTATTTACCAAAACCTCAGCATATGGATTTCTCCTTCAGGAGACCAAGCGAAGGAGTCTTTAGAAAGCTGTAGAATTTCATGCTGTCTTCTCTGAATGCCCCAGTGATGAGAAGTAAATCAATCCAACAACCTAGGGGCTATAGAAAATTAGACCAGTCAATCAGGCAATCAGTAAGTGATTTCACACGGGTCCTATATAATCCCACCCTAGGCCGCTACAAAGCTGCTTAGGTGTGATGTGTTATTTCCTGACCATTTTGGGATTTTGCAACCCGAAAATATAAAAACAAGTGTGAAAAAGCAACTAGAAAACTAAGAAGGCACCTGTTTCCACTTAACTGCTTGATCTTCAACACTGATATGAACTTAAATATTTATTAAAAATAAAATGTTTTCCTTTAAACCCCAATGCCTGATAGTACTAAAGAATGCCTGTCATGATAGATGTTAAACCTATTTGATGGTTCATGCACTGATTGCATCTTTAAGTACAAGAAACTTTAAGCCACCAAAGTCATAGTATTCCCTTAAAAAATGCATTACTCCTTTAGAAAAAAAAAAAAAACACTTAGCTAATTGAAACACAGATTAATTAATAGTTAAATACAAAGAAAATGTAACCAAAGTGTGAATGCAATTCATGTTATGGCAACACAACATCATTTAAAAGCATGTCAAACATTTCAGTTAAATGTCTAAAAAGGCCCAAAACTCTAGAAAATGTGAATTAAACTGGAAATAATCTTAAATGTTATGATTCCTTAGATTTAATAGGACTATTTAAACAAACTCATAGTCACGAACATGAATTGAATGAGGCACTTAGTCTAATTATATAAAATAAATTACTTTATTAAATTAATACTCATTTTGGCAAGTCTTAAAAATATAAAACAGAAAAAAATCCATTGATGGAAGCTGCAGCAATCTGCTGCTGTGCAGCTGGCTGCTGGACTATATGCTTTTGTAGACTTGGAGGAAGGTTTTGGTTGTAGGTTGCCTCAGTTTCCTTTGGAAAACTACTGGGCTCTCCTGACCAACTGGTTTGTCACACTATTATTCACATGTCCCGGAAACTTCAGGTTATCCAAATCTTTCACCATATTCCCAGAAATCTGGAGGAGGTATGTGATCCTCTTTTGGAGGGTGATAACAATGCCTACAAGTGCATCCCTTCTGAATGCGACGATACAATCAGGACATCTCAGCTTCTAAAATCAGACCCACAACTGTAGTATAATTTGCATATTTTACTTTACTGTTTATAATGAAGGGAAGATGGAATTTTCGTCATGTTAGAATAGTGGGAAAAGCATTGAACTCTAATCTCTGAGGAGTAGTTTGGGTACCGGTTTGTAAAGGATGAGAGTGTGAAATACAGTGCTGATGTTCACAGATAACATCTAGAAAAAATGTATGAGGTATCTCCTTCAGTCTCAGAGGAGGACTGGAAGGCTTTTGGGATGGGATCATCTGTGCAGTGGTTCCCCTAATTGGACTACTTAAAAAAAAAAAAAAAACTGCATTAGTTTTACATGCTTTAGGCTTAATTTCAGATATCTCAGATCATCTTTTCGTGTCAATATACAGCATCTATGCATCAATGCTTTGTGCAGCCCACTCATCTGAAAACCTCAGCTGTGTAACTCGAAAGGGTCCAATCTGTCACTAAATCAGTCATGTGACCCAGAGCAACTCTCTGAGCTTCCTTTAAACACGAAAACTAACTAAGCTAAAAGTTATAGGTAGGCAACAAAACAGATATGACACATTTCTGGTGAGATATATCTTTGATTCTCTGAAGTAATATTTAATCTAGCCTCTCAAACCCCACCATTTTAAAGCATTTACAACTAACAACACATAATGCATGAAAATTACACTGTGTAACAATATAGATATGTTAGACATAGTTGGAATGCTTAGATTCTCCACAATTCAACCACGTAGTTCATTTTATGGACACAGTGAGCACCAAAGCACAATTAACACAGATATAGCAGCATGTCAAAATGTAAACAAACAAAGCAGCCACAAAAAGCAAGCATTTCTTTATTACTGCTGTTGAAAAAAGACCTATTATTTTCGAGAATAAAACAGACAACTTTGTGTCATGTTTGAACTGATGCAGCATGGGCTGTGTTTTACTCACCCAATTTGCATGTTTATATCCAGAAACTAGAAGGTGTTACCTTTCAAATAATGTATCACACATGTAATTTGGGCGTACAGTTCCTAAGTTATTTTCTTTTCATTTGGGTATGCAATATAGGCAAGACTCTCTCAAAATGAGGTGGATGTTAAGAGGCTAGAGGGGTGGATGATGCTTTTTTTTTTTTTTTGTAATATAATTTGTCTGATGATTAAATGGATTAGGATAAATAAAATACTTAAAGAGAAGTAAAGTCAGATAATCAAATGGCCAGATTTGTTTAAGAGAAACTTAGGGTTTTCCCATAATAACATAATGTCTCAGAATAGGAGGACCATGTTCTTTAAATGTAAGAGTCTGACAAGGAAAAACTCAACCATATGCTATTTATGTTGATGCAGTAGTGAAGAATTTTTTTGTATTTTTTATGTTAATATGAGACTGTTTGCTTGAGTTGCATTTAGAATAATAAAATGCAGCTGCTCATCCAGTCAAACACTAGCTAACTAGTAACTGACAAATAAACATTAAACCACCATTAAAAAATTAACATCAGAGGAAAACATCTGCATGAACTATTTATTAAGACATGTGTTCTGTGTTTGAATACATAACATGCAGAGAAATACATAGTTATTGGCTTTTACTGCTAATTTACTTAAAGAATTTTCTTGGCTTGATATCAACACCTCATTCATCTGAGCTACCTTCTGAGAATGATAACACAACTGCAGTGAAACTATTTTAAAGATAGATGTACTGATTTGTCTGTTATTTGACCTTTGATCTGGTAATTGCATAAATCCTTTGATACATGTTGCAAATCAGATAACCAGCATTATTCAGTCTTGCATGTCATGAATCTAAAGGGTTTTTTGCAGGATTTTTTTGTTGATAACTAGAAAACTACAATTTAAGAAAACCAAAGAAATGCAAAAAAATAATCTGATATTTAATGGCTATTTAATAGGAATGAAATGTAAAAAAAAATCTATTTAATTATAATATTGGTGCCATTTTCTATCTTAGCATGTGAGCCATGGAAAAGGTAAATTTCATATTTTTTGTCACTAGACAGCAATCTGTCAAACATTGACACAGGATGTATTGTGAGAGCTAGCTTATACATATTGAGATCATTTATTAGGGAAAAAATGCATTAAAGTCAAACTAATTGATACAGACACATTTTTACTAAAATTTCCTGTAACTATGAAATAATTTTAATGTATGTTATTTTTAAATCACGTCCTCTTCTTTTGCAATTCTTAATTAACTCCATGGCTTTGTTGTAGGTTAAAAAAAACATAAGCTTCTTTCTGGGTTTTGATAGAATATAAAACATATTTCATTATAAGCACAAGCAAGTGCATTTACACTCGATTGACTGAACTCTAAAGCTGTAGATATTTGAGTGTGGTCTAGTTCTTCTTGCAGCCAAAGCCAATCTATGAACATTGGTTCAGTTCTTGTCTTGGTGTGAATAGGCTCAGTCCTTTTACTATGTGTGTTTTTTTTTGTGTGCACTTGTGTATTTAGTTTTCATTTGCAAAAGACATTTGGTAATAAAGAAATATTATGGTGTAAGGATTTGAAAAAAATTATTTTACTTCAGACCCCTCTCATCAAATAAAGATTCACAATGATATAACAATTAAAGGTATTGTGGAGGACTTTCATGATTTTTTTTAACAAAAGTCCCGCCCTCTCCACTTTTAAAAAAAGTGCACATGCACAACTCTGTACCCACTCCAGAGCGGGAACGCCTATGAAACGCGTGCGAGAGCATGCACAAGCCCCCTTTTCCTCATACACGCCTTGTTTAAAAGTTGTTGTTAAGTTGCCGTTACTGGTAAGAGATTTCAAAACATCTGATGCAGGTCCAGCAGAATCCACAACAGTTTCTTCCCCACTGCCATTAGACTGCTGAATGTTATTTAAAATGGGTTTATAAAAAAAAAATAAAATAAAAAAACTGAATATTACAGCTGTAACTATACATTCGTATGTTTTACATTACTGTTTTTCATCACACATTTGATCACTGCTGCTTAACTTATCAAGGCTGCAATTTAAAAAAATAAATAGTCTAGAGAGCTATACTTAATGAAATTTATTTTTGTTTACACATGTGTGTACAAAATGAAAAAATAAAATCTGTCTAAGTCTAAATCGCTCAGTCACTATATAGAGCGGGCACTATATAGTGGATTATATGGTGAACTCAGTTAACTGAGCGTTCGGACAGATGATCACTACTGTTTGGTCCGTTGGTCATGTAACTCTGTCTCCTCTGCGCTGCGCCATCTTTGTTATTAGTTAGTTAGCGACAGCCAATGGTGAAGGCCATAGGTGCAACAGTGACAGCACTGTGACAGCAAATACCATAATGCTTTGCGCATAAAGCTTTCCTCACAAAGCATTCTAGGATATAACTGCCTCTTTTGAGGGCTTTCTCTTCTTCTCATACACTCCATAGACACTTTCTCTCTTACGACCCTCTGCCATTTTTAAACAACCGTGGTGAGAAACGTGAGCTTCAATGGCTGTCTGAAACCGTAGCTCACCACACATTTATGTCTGAAATGCGCACGCGCAGAAAAACAGCTAATGGGACGAGCCTTACATAAACATATCACCAGAATGATTGACAATAAGAGAACCACTTATTTAAATGATCCCGGAAATTAAAGATCATGCTCTATACTTTTAATAAAGCTAAATACCATGAAACTCAATCTCTTTGTGGTCTTAGTCTGCTTGTAGAGAAATAAGTGAGTAATTATTCCTCAAAATACCAGATTGGTGTTTTATAAAACTGGTTTGGTCCATAAACCAGGCTTAGTCAGCCAACTCGGAGCTTATATTGTTGTCATTTCGTAAATCAGATTTCGCTCTGAGTCTAACTTTTAACTGAGCTAGTGAAGTGAGTGTGGTCAGAACCGGCTGACTGAGGCAATATGTGAATCAGGAAAATCAGTAAAAACACTCCAGTCAAAGAAAATGTGCATAAACTACCATTGGTGTTCATTCAGGATACAGACCTTTCAATGTTCCCATCTGGTGCTTTGGATCTATTTGAATTCCCACAATCCTTTGCATCTGGACACAACCCACCTCAAAGTGATTAACAAAAGCAACTCAGTTTATAACAGAGATCTTCAGCTGGTTACCACTGGTTGTGCAAATTTTGTTTTTCTATTTGTTTTTGTGAGCAATATTTTCACAAGCATCCTCCATGTGCGTTTCACACAATGACCTCTGTAAGACTGAAGGCTGCCTGGATTTAGAACAGCAGTTTGGAGTTCCCGTCCTACCCAGTATAGTGTTCTTACTGGTGATCCGGTGAAAGCTGAAAGAACAGGAGTTAGGAGCTAAAATTTGCAGTTTTCAGATTGAGAGATTGTTTAAATAAAGAATTTGACCTGTAGGGGGCACTATTATAGCATTGAAATTTCACGCATGCAGTCCTACCAAAAAAACCTCAGTAAACACAAACACGCCTTCAGAGTATGCATGTATCGGAACAGTGGAGCTTAGAAAGTTATTTTAAGACTTTAAAGTAAATTAAATTTCTCCTAATTTATTTAATTTCCTCTCATTTAGACACATGTAATGTTTTTTCTATATAAGCTACACTGCATAACCAGATAGGAAACAGTTTGACAGCACATTTCAGTTTGAAACTGGTCTGTAACAAGAAAGTAAATATATCTCTGCATTTATATAAACATGCTAATATTACAGTTAAAGCAGAAAATAATATTTATCCAAAAATTGGTTAAAAACAATGACATTGAAATGGCAAAAAGGATAATTAAAATGTTTTTAATAGATATGATTTAAATGAGATCAATGTAGCTGTCTGATCAAAAACAATCATTGATTTGATCCAGTCTCCTTTGCTGCTGCTGTCTTTGTGAAGCTTTTTTAAGTTTCCAACACCAATACTTTATAAAACAGATAAACATTTATCAAACATTGGCTTCAACTGAAAAATGTGCCTGAATAGTTTTAGATTTCTCTCACAAAGCCTTTTTGAGTGATGGTGAATGTGCTTTGTGTTCTTTAATGAATAAATATCATGTTTGTGGTAAGACATTGCAAAAGATGAGGCACTGAGTTGGAAAAAGTTTACACAGAAATGATGGATTTCACTGTGTATACTTCAAGGAAAGCTAAATTTGAACATAGATTCTGACTTAAGTTAATGTTAAGAGTTTCTAATTATACAACATTAGAATTTTCTGGAAGATTGATTTAACTAGAATTGGTTTTACAAAGAAGTAGGTCTTTGATTAATATCAAATAAATATTTTTTTTAAATGATCAGGATCTGAAAAGAAACCCAACAAAATGGAACAAGTTACCATAGAATAAAATTGGGCAGCTCAGAGCTGCTCCTGTTTAATAAATGATAAAAAAAAATACTCAATATCTGTGACTAAAAACATTCTTTGGTTTCTTTTTTTTTGTTGCTATTTTTACTAGGAAGGCCTACCACGTCTGATCATGGTTTCCTGAGCATCTCTTCCGCCAAAGCATCCCAGGGATCATTACCCTTTTGGGCCATGACTGCACCTCTTCCAAACACCAGCATTCCCGGGAGCGCATCAGCTCTACTGTTGACCTCTGACTATCTGTTGAACCTGACTGCGGCTTCACAGGTGGGACATGGCTCGGCCCAGTCACTCCCACCGCTCTGCACCCTCTGCTGCTGTGGAGTTCTCAACCGCATCCTAGCTGTGGCATTCATGGTCACCCTGGCATTCGCAGTTGTGATTGGAAACGTGGTCACTCTAACAGTGTTTGTGCAAACCAGGCAGTCAAGAACACCACAAGGATACTTAAAAGGTAACTTTATTATGCAGATTTTCTCTTGTTTAAAGATTTAACTGAAACTTGACTCTCAAATGGTCTCTTCATTCTGAAACCCTTTTTCCTCTTTAAATCTTTTCCACAGTATCTCTGGCCGTAGCGGACATGATGGTGGGTGTTCTTGTGGTTCCTTTCTCTGTCTACACTGAAATCTCCCTGATGGTGACCAACGCTCCTCCAATCTGGTACCAGGGTGGTACATCTTCATCCTTCAATGATCTGGGGAGCCCCTGGCAGCCCTGCATGCTAATAGGTCCCGTGTTTGCAGGATGCACCTTCGTTTCCATCAGCACCATCTTCCTGATGACCTTGGAGCGCAGCGTGGCCATTCTGTGGCCGCTGCACAAGGACTCTCTGGTGACCAGAAGACGAACGCTGCTCCTCATCCTGCTGTCTTGGGCAGCCAGCTTCCTGTTGGCTCTCGCACCTCTTATCTTCAGCAGCAACTTTACGTTGGAGTACAATGAGTGCAGTCGCATGTGTAACTACGCCCCACTGTTATTTGAAGGCCGGCTCCCGCCTGATGCCAACATATTGCTGTTGTTCCCAGCATTTGACTTCACACTTTTGGGTGGCACATTAGCAGTCAATATTGTGTCCTTTACAAGCATTCGCCAGTACACCCGGAAACGCAAACTGCTCTCAGTAGGGAGTCTGAGTGATGGAGGGGGAGGAGGGGGAGGATGCTCCCACAGACCATCATTTTCAGACATTAAGGCTGCAAAAACTATCGGCATACTGACATTCGCCTTTACAGCATCTTTTTCTCCTATTGCTGTGTTTGTGCTTGGAAACGTGGTGGGATACGAGTGGTGCAACTTTTCTTTTGTTGCCTTCTGGATTCTGACAGGAAACAGCTGCTGTAATGTCATCATCTACAGCGTGAGGGACCACCGCTTCAGGAAAGGTGTGACCCTGCTTTTTCAAAGAGAGCAGTCTCCCCCTCGTGGTGAGAAGACCTGAGGGCCAAAAGGACTCATTCAGGTTTAACATGCTCATGTTATTGTAACTGATGTCCAAAATTTTTGTTTTTGTTCATATTTAATGATAATTAGAATATTTTTATGCACATGAGAATCCATGCTCTGCTTGTATTTGCACAATGTCAAAGCTTTGCAGAAAGAGAGGAAGTTTTGAATATGTGTTAAACTGGATTAATTAAGCCAATGCCCTTTGAACAAAGGGCATTGGCTTAATTTACATAGAAAATGAAAAATAACAATCCAAAACCTTGGAACAGATAAACTTGTTGCTCTGACTGGGATCTCATTCTTTCCAAAGGGATTTTTGAAGAGGTCAGTCAGTGTAAAAGTGGCAGAAACTGCAGCCCACTAAATAGCCACAGGATGCAAATTTTATAAGCAGTTTGAGTAATTTGTTGACATTCCTTTAAAAGGTATCAATACACCTGGAAGTTTTTCAACCATATTCATGTCACAAACACATTTAAGATTTCTTTTGGAAGTTTTTTTGGGATAAATGATAAAACTAAAGATGTGGAGAGGTAATGCCCTTTTTACTGAAGCTTAAAACAAATCTAAATTTAATTACAGTAAATGAAAAGCAGCTTTAAAACCAAGAAACATAGCAGACTGGAGTAAAACCAGTCAGGCTTTCAGGGTCCTGAAAAAGACAAAAGCAGCAAGGATGTTTGTTCATTCAGATATTCAATAGGCTCTATGCACAGCTCCACTACTTCCTGAATTTAAGGCAGCTCCTTTGTTTCCTGTCTTTCATGATTGGATGCACTGATTAATCCAGGTGTGTATGACCTAAGTAACTGGCCAGACACACCTGGATTAATCAGTTCATCCAGTAATGAAAGACAGGAAACAAAGGAGCTGCCTTAAATTCAGGAAGTAGTGGAGCTGTGCATAGAGCCCATTGCACAACTAATTAGTCCAAATCATTGTGTATTTCACAAATATGCCCTTTATGGAAGAGGGAAGCCATTGTTAAAAAAAAAAAAAAAGAATCTCTGAAACTGCAGTTTAGAGTTTTCCTCAGACCAAACAAGAAACATGTTAGTGCTCTATTGTGACAAAAAAGTTGCAAAACTTTAAGTTTTGTTTTGTCGCCATGATGCCATCGTATCCCCTTGAATACATCATAATCACCATCATACTCAGAACTGGCATTACCATGCTGTGGGGATGCATTTCCATTCAGGCAGCAGGGACAAAAACATAGATGTTGTTAAATCCAGGGAAGTTGAAGAAATAAACGAAATCCTCTAAAGGAGTGCAGAATATGGTTTAAGGGCAGCTGTTGGGCAGGAAAACAAGCCTTTACATATTCAGCTAGAGATACGATGGAATGGTTTATATCGCAGTAAATTCATGATAGAACAACCCAGCAGTCAAAAACTGTACATTCAGATGATTATCTTTAAAACTTAAAAAAATAACTTTTCATGTTTTTCATGTTTCATGTATTTTGTAATATTTTTCAGATATTTAGAATTTTGAGTATGCAAAGCTAGTGGATACTTTTTCAAAAAGGCTTCATTAAAGATTTATGTTTTTCTTCAAAGTATTGACTCAGGTTAACCTTACAAGCCACATTGATTGATTTAGTTCTACACATTATAACTCCAGGCCTGCTCTTGATGAGTTTGCTGGGGGAAAGGAGGCTACATTTGGCAGAGCTTTCATGCCTGATTGGGCAAAGCAATACTTAGTGTCCACTAAACAAAGTTTGGTTCTTGACAATCAAGGCAACAAATGAGAATTGTGTAGGCACCTGAATGATAACGCTTAGCATCTTAATTTAGATCTACAGTATTTGCCCAAAGCGCCCCTTACTGTTCTTCTTTCAAAGATGAAAATTTGGACTCTAACTAAACAGATGTATTATGAGTAGTGCAGACTTTTAGTGAGCCCAAGTGCCAATTGGCTCCCTAAATCAAGAAAAAAAAACTCGTTTTTAGGAATCACACAGCTATTAATATAGAGATAGATACACCATATGGTTTCTACAGGGGGAATTTAATATAACTTTGAGGTTAAAGATCAACCTCAAATTACATCAGTGTTAAAGTTAATGGGAGTCAACACATGGTCTTTATCAGCTTTAGTGAGAAAAGAAAGTGTTTTCATTTGTGTGCGGTTGTTTATTTCTGTGAGAGACTGATTGGGTGGGTTTGCCCCACCTTGCAATCATTAATCATTAAGTGGGAATGGCTGAATTAAAACCAAAAATGTGGGCATGAAATAGTTGCAACAAATGGTGAAGAGACAAAAAGACACTGAGCTTCATAAGTGGATAAAAAAATACATTACTTAATAGATGTGTCCAACTATTGTCTATCTTACTTCTTTGCTATTTCAAAAATGTCAATTTACAGTCAAACAATGCGTCATTCCATATACTATCTGCAAAAAAATTTTGAGATGTTTTTTCATCTCAATATTTTCGGTCAGAGATAGCCAGAAGAATGTTAGGCTACATACTATAGCTACTATAGGATACATTGGTGCATATGTAGATTTTCTTAGTTGGTACATCCACTGACAATAAAATTACCTGTGAAGCATCTTCCCACAGCCGGCAAACTGCTTATTTTAGCAGCCAAATGCTACACACAAAGGCATTTTTATGCAGCGTCTCCATGAGAGTGGGGAATATAAAGATTTTCAGGCTATGAGCAATCCGGTGAATTAATAGAAATCAGTTCAAGGAGCTGCTCTACTGCCACAAAAATGTACATGCTCTTAGTATTTTTTAGATTCATTTAAAGATTGAAACTGGAAACGCTTCATCAGAAATTGACCTCATTTATTTCTTCTTCCTGTGTGTGGATATCATGCTGCTGCCTCTACTTTACCGTTTTTTGTTTACATTTTTAAATTTGATACTGCTGTGTAACATTTATAGATTTTAAGCCTCTGATTTTACTCTACATTTTAAATAATCTGCAAAAAAAAATTAAATGTCACAAGCACACTTCCCTATGTTTGCTGCGCTTAGACATCATGCTTAACAAGTTTTAGTTAAGTTTCTTTTTTATTATTCATTATTTTTTTCATCAACATAATTTAAATAATCAGTATATTTATGACTAAATGAATGGGTTACCAGCCACAGAAGTATTATATAGTGAGAGACTATGGTCAGATCAGACCTTTGTACTGTGCAGTCTGTCTCTACGGGGTATACTGTATCTGTAGCACTAAGCGATGTCTATGAATCATGTGTGGTGCTGTGCTGTTCAGATTGACTGTATGATAAAAGGTATCAATGCCATTAGAGAATACTGAAGAATAAAATATCATATAAAACCACCATAAAGCATTGTTTGTTCATGTCTAGTACTAAAATATATTGCATGTTGAAGGAAATTTAAACAGAAAACAAACATAACAGGTGACCTATATGAATTATTGTTTTTGTGTAGTGAAACCTTTTTCACCCCATGGGGACATAAGTTCTGAACCTGTCAACTTCTTCACTTAGTAGATACTTTTTCTAACAAGTATTTCAACAGAAAACAAAAAATGTGGGGTGAGGCATAGTGGTTGGGGCATTGCGATTGGAATCCAGAGGTTCTGAGTGCAAGCCCCACTCCCACAGACTGACGCTTCGGGTACACTGCTCCCCAGGCGCCGCACAATGGCAGCCCACTGCTCTACAAGGGGATGGGTTAAATGCAGATGTGAGGTCAATAGAGATCTATTATTATTTCTTCTCTGTCAGAAATCCCATAAGGAGTACTTGTCTGTGGATGGGCTAATGATGAGATTCAGTTCTTTGCACCTCTAAATTTTAGCCCCATTTGTGCTCAACAGGACAAAATTCAGAAATATGTCACCGTGGTGTAAAATGTTCATAAATGATAATTTTTTATCATGTTTTGCATTAGGCATTTAATGTCATAAGTAGGTTTTGCATAAATAAGGATTTTAAGGTTTTAAGAGAGCACATTGCTTTTACCCATCAAGCAATACTTCTTTTGCATTACCTTTATAATGAGAAACCTTTTATAGGGCATCAGTTTAGACTACAACAGTAGGGTTTCAGTTTTATTTATATAGTGCCAATTCACAACACATGTCATCTCAAGGCACTTTACAGTTTACCAGATCATCCAGTCAAATTGATTCAAAGTTTTCTATCTAAGGAAAACCAGTTGATTGCATCGACTCATTGACATGAATGTAATCCGTCAAACGATGCATGCTTGTAGCGACAGTGGAGAGGAAAAAGTCCCTTTTAACAGGAAGAGACCTCCAGCAGAACCAGGCTCAGAGTGAGCGGCCAGCTGTTGAGGCCGACTGGGGTTCAAGGAGACAGAAGCAGAGAAGGCGGCCCCGTCCAGGAAACAGGAGGAAAGATGATTGTCTAAAAACTTAAGCCTTTTCGCAACTATTATTTTTTTCTCTAATTTCAATTAACCAGAAAATACGCTGTAAGAAAAACAATGTATTTAATACTTACTTCCACTTTTATTCTGAGAAATGCTGAAATTTGTTCAATTCCCTATTTAGCTTTATTTTACAAGAGAAGCTTAAGACAAGACAAGAGAGCCGTGCTTTTTACATGCTTATCTCAAGAAAACTCTGTCTCCCAAAAATCATGACGCTCTCTTATGTTTAAATATACTTCTTCTGCATTTTGTCAAAAAGAACTGAAAACCTGTACCATATTTTATGATTAAAATTCTTACATTGGAATGATAAACAACAAGTATTGTCACCCTTGTTTATATTCTAAAGATGATTTAGAAATGTTCTGCGTTAAGTCAGTCAACAGAAAAATTATAATAAAACCTATAACAAAGAAACAAAACAGTCTGACAACAATTCCCTACTGACATTTCTTACTTCAGTGGAGTCTACTGGAAAGATTCACAAGCACATAAAGGGTAATAAAGGCTGAGAATGATCTGAAAAGAAGTTGAAGAAGGATGAATGATGGCGGGGTTGGCAAACCCACTCCAGAGGTCCACAGTGGGAACAAGCTTT